TTCGCCGCAGTCATTTCGAAAGAGGAGGGTTAAAATGAACAATTACATTTTGAACTGTAAGAGTCCTCTCCTCTCGCTGTTTCATGCCTTTACGGTTTCATTTCTAGTGGGAAAAACACTCAAAATGTCTTTGGGAGCTAATTGTAATCTGGTTTTATTATTATTATTATTTTAAAAAGAGTCAAATAGATACTACATCTGCAGGTCATGCTAGTTCATGCTATGCCTCAGAGGTCTGGAGCTCTGGAGCAGTGGAAGGAGGTATAAAAAAAGGATCAGATTGTGAGGACTTAGAGAATATGAAATAGTACAAAGACACAGCGACTTGGCTAATTCGGCACAGTCCGGGCTTATGTAAAAACGGCCTAGTTACATTGGTCAATTTCTGCACGAACAATGGGCTAAGTTGCTCTGGAGACTTATTGGACATGCTGTATCTGAATGTGGTCTGGCTTAAGAGGCTTACAGTTGAAAAGTTTAGGTGACCTCTGAATAATGCCACATAATGTAGTTACATTCACTGTGTATAGTTTCAATGGGCTCTGATATCAGGTGACAATGGGAGTAAGCACAATGAGAGCTCGCACTGAGGATGAATGAAGTCATGTATTGTACTTTAGACCTAAAAATGACACTTCAACCGTGCACTCAGATCTGATTGTGTTTGATTCCAGCCAGTTGTACAGTAGAGAGGTTTTATCTAAGGGGAATGTAAAATACTGCAGGAATTTATAATGTCTTCAATCATTTTGTGTTGAAAGACAATCATGCTTTGCGTTAAGATTCGGTGGATTTTTTTAAATGCACACATGTCAATGTGTAAGGTGGTGGTATTCTGGATTTGTGTTAACTAATCCTACAAGATGTACAAAGTCAACTAATGAGTAGGGCTGGGCAATACAACATTAATATATCAATATTGTAGTATGACGAGATAACTGTATTTGTAGTATTGTAATTGCTTCTTTCTTGGTATTTATAAATAATAAGAGAAATATGTGGGAGAGAACCTTTGGGATTTTAGCCTTTGCAGACTCTTCAGGAGAATAATAGGACCTCCTTAAGACCAGATATATCCTTTAAAAGCCATTGACTTGCATCACAGGCGTGGTCAAATTTGCTGAAATTATTCCAATCAAGTAGGTCTGCAGCCTTTAAACAAAGACACTGTGGAGCGTTCAACTGGAAGATAGGAGAACAAATATCAAAATGGCGCTGAATTTCTTTTTTTTCTGACAAACTGCTCCTACTTTCCAGCTGCATTGTTTATCAATCTGTTGTTGAATTCTCTACAGGTTTCTATCTGTCATTCTTCCTTCCTTCTCTCTACCTCCTCAGTCTCCAGCGTTACTGTAACACACAATTACTCTGCAGACTTGCCGCCTGTTTCTATAACTTCAGGGGTTCAAAGAAGCTGTCGGAGTGTGGAGGAGAGCATTGTGGGAGTTCCAGGTGGATTTCTCGATAATGAGTTAGTGCGGTAGTACAGTTGAGAGTTTTAGTAATGGCTCGCTGCTAAGGCTCTTCCTCTGAGTTTTAATGTAAAACAAACAGGGCCGTTCTGACAGCCTGGGAAAAACAGATACTGCACTTTTCCACTTCCTCTTCGGGGCTACTCATTTTAAGAATTAAAAGAAGAGTTTATAGTCATGAAACGGCGCTGTGCATCCTAATTTGGGATATTTAAATACCTCTCTGGGGCTTCTCATTTCTATAAATGGGTATAATGTGCAATACTTTCTGGATAAAATGACACAGGACAGATTATCAGGAGGAGATGAGTTCTCTGGTAGGTTTGTAGGATCCCAAAAATAGGTAAGGAATTTATATTTGACACTGTCGGGTTAGCTTGATGACCAGAGGCGCCCTGTGGGGGCCCTGAACACACCTCCCTGCTGCTTGTTACACACTCCACTGCATGTATTATACATAACAGCCTCCTGGAACACGACTCTCAGAGGAATCAGTTTGCTGAATCCTGTCCTCTCCACATATTTCTCCCTGAATGACAAGTTTCGGGGATTGTGCAGAAATGTAATGCAGAAATCACAGACAGAACACCCCAACAGTAAGCTACAGCCACTCAAACCAATCACCAGTCCTTACTTAGAGATACTCCCCCATAGATTCACTCTGGCGTGCATCCAAAGAAAGCTGCCACTATCTTTGCAGGCAGCCATAAAGAAGACCAGTGAAAGGTAAGCCAAAGCATATTCTGCGAGCATACTGTGTATTGAGATATTCACTGTTTTCCATAAGTAACGCATCTCAGGGAGCAATGAAGCAGCCTGCAGCACTGGGGTGAAGATATAAACAATCTGAGCTGAAGCTCCGAGAGGCGGGAAGAAAGTTTTCTGTCGGACTCTTAGGAGCTTTTGCCAGTGTCGACACGATAAACACAACTCAAGCGCCGCTTCAAAGCGGAAGTGGAATTGAATTTGACAAAGATTTGATATTTGCAGCAGACTCAATTTCAATTTCAATGTCACCTCCAGAGGGGGCCCACACATGCTGATCGTAATGTTTGAAAGGGCGCTGAAGAAGAATGAATGGAGTGAATCATTGTGGACGCGAGAGTCAAACGGCTGAACAGCATCAAACGCTTTCTGAACTTACTCCAAGTCCACCTGAAATGGGAAAAAAAAGTTGCCAGGAGCTAAAATGTTGAAAAATGTGGGATAGAGCGCAGAGAAAAAACGGGCACCAAACCAATTTATCCAAAGCTTTGTGGTAAAGTTGCTACAACGCTGAGTCAAGTATGGAATTACACAGTATCACTCTTTCCCCCTGGTTGTATCATCATGTATTACATTTTTTATATTAATTGTAGCATTCATTTTAAAGGGGCTCTATTATGCTCAGATTTGTATGTTGTGCCTCTGCTGTGACATGTTTCCATACTTTAATGTCTGAAAACTCATCTCTTTCGACTCCACTTCGAGCGTTAGAACTATTAACGAAGCACTTATATACTAATAAAGGACTGGATTACCTAAAGCCAGTTGAGTAGCACTTGAAATGTTTGGCTCTATGAAACCTGATGTACTTATATGATTCTGTTTTCTTCAAGGTTGTGTCTTCCTGGTCGAATGTACTTATTGTAAGTCGCTTTGGATAAAAGCGTCAGCTAAATGCAATGCAATGTAATGTAATGTAATGTAATGTTCAAAAAACCTCTTTTAACCCTCTGTCTGAAACCAGAGCTCAGTCTGCTCTAATTGGTTAGCAGGTCGACTGTTTTGTGATTGGTCCACCACTTAGAGATGTCCCGCCACTTAGCCTATCACCAACAATGTGTCGGAGCCAATAGAAGCGCAAGTGTTACATAGTGATGTTATAATGTTTAAGAATGATTTTAGCCTATGCAGACCTTTGAAATGTAACACACTATAGGAAATGAAATCCCCCTAAAGACATACCAGGGCCCCTTTAAAGTTAAAAGTTGTATTGAGGAGAGAACTCAATAAAGGACTCCAAAAGATATTCTATTACTATAGAAAAATGAACAGAAATCAATTGTGTTGAATGTGTACTATACATTTGTTCTGCTTAGCAATGGGGCAACTATGAGATGACAAGAGATATTAAACTTCTACTACGAGATTTCAATTAGATGAATTCTTCTTTGTATGCCTGCGAAGATCCTTGTGGGGGATTTACTGTAATGAACTTATGCCGTACAACACAGAACAACTCTCACAAGGGGACGTCTGGAGATGTTACTGTGAATAATTGAATAAGGTCAAACTGAAAGTGACAAACAAAGGAGCTGCCAGTGATATGCAGCTGAGGTGATGATGCTGCATGTGATGCTATCTCCAGCGTATCAAGAGTGGAGGAAATTCTTCTTCTTCAAAAAAGAAGAGAAATCCTGTTATTGCCCGTTTTTCTTGTCTCATACAGTCCGTGTGTGAGCAGGAAGATTAGAAGATTTTAAAGAAGTGCATAATCTTCTTTCACAGCTTATCAAAACTTTAATGATTTGGTGATAAAGAGCACAAAGTTAAGTAGCCGGTTAAGAGGATAACTCCCCAGTGCAGTCTAGTGATTAGTAGATGAGAATTGGGAGACTGAAAATCCGGGGTTTGCAAATCCCACTCCTGCCACTTATTCACTTTGAGGGAGAAGAAGCTCCATTTCAGCTTTGGGGGGGGTATTGTCACGGGGTAATCATTTTTTGAAAAGTGATAAATGGAGCCCCTTTTTTTCCTTCAGCCTTTTTGGAATCCAAAACACATCTTTATTTATTTTGCTGTGTCTCTTTGGTTAACACCCGTCAAGACCCAATTATAGCTGCAGAAGCCTTGTGCTTTCATGGGAAGTGAAGCTACACACACTGCAGTGGCAGGGCTGTGTGCATCTCTGCAATCTGCAACAAACCTCTACAGATCCATGTTGGGCCATCTTTTAATGAGGGTTTGCCGGACACAATGCGGCAGATTGAGGAGTTTATCGTAATGACAGCGGGTCATTTGTGCTTTAAGGCTGAAGGCTGGATAAACAACATGGATTTTCCTGACAGATATGATGATATTCCCTTCCACTTATTTACATAAATCCATTCCTGAATGTCTGATTTATGAAAGATGTACAGATAAAGCCCTGCTGAATTAGCGAGGGAACAAATGAAGCGAGCCCATCTCCACAACTTTGCTATCTGCACCGAGATAGGGATTCACTTAGTATAAAAGAGAAGGGAAAAAAAGCGGGGCATTAATTACCTTGTGAAATCTAAAGACCATTAACTTTGTGTGTCAAGTGATGTTTCTCAGTTCCTAATCAGAGTTTTAGTGATATAAATTGCACTTTGGAGTAAAACAGATATGGTGTGAGGCTTTTTTGTGTGTCCTTGCAGCTCTAATTATTTGTGTGTGACTTTGAGAAGCAAAAGGAGAAAGTAAAAAAGGGAGACAGATGGAGAGAGTGGAGAGGATGTCTTTGCTGCCGTGGCGTGGTGTGTTGCGCCGCGGAGAGATAACAGGACGCCGCCGCTTGCTTACCTTTGCAGTACACCACACAGTTGTTTTTGTTGTCTTCCGCTCCCTGCCAAGTCACATCCAGCAGCCACCTGGGGCCGGCGCTCAGCACCACCGGGACCGTGCTCTTCGTCTTCTGGACGGGGACAGATAACACACACTAATCATTTGCTTATTTTGGTGATTAAAGAAACATTAATAACCACTGAGTTACGCTCTTCCAGGCTCTGAATGGCCACAAACAGACAATTCCAGGAAGTATACACCATGCATCGCCTTTTTTTATAGGGAAGATTTGAGAATCAGGGAAGGCTTTGTGTGTGTGTGTGTGTGTGTGTGGTGTGTGTGTGTGTGTGTGTGTGTGTGTGTGTGTGTGTGTGTGTGTGTGTGTGTGTGTGTGTGTGTGGTGTGTGTGTGTGTGTGTGTGTGTGTGTGTGTGTGTGTGTGTGTGTGTGTGTGGTATAGTAGTTGGAGTGTGGACAAACGGGTGTATCAAAGAGGAGGAATAACAATCCAGGATTTATTCATTATGAGATCTCTTAGATTAACTTCTTATTATCCTGAAAAAAGTCACAGATCATTCGCTCATTTTGGTCATTAATAACCACTGAGTCTTCCAGGCTCTGAATGGCCATACACAGACACTTTCAGGAAGTATACACCATGCAACCCAAGTCCCCCTTTTCCTTTTGAGAACCAGGAAAGGTTTCGAGAGAGTGTGTGTGCTGTACAGTGGTAACGTGGTGACAAACGGGTATATCAAAAAGGACGAAACCCATCACGAGATCTCCTAGATCAACTTCTAAGGTGTCTGGGAATTATGAAAAAAGGAAAGAAAGAAGGAAGAAAAAGCTGGTGACTTTCACAGAGAGGGAAGCGAGTGTTCAGCGGTGAACTTTGGGCACATTGTGCCTTGCTATCGCCGGGATCTCACTATTTCCTGAAACAAGCAGGGAAGAATTTAAAGAATCAGTATCCATTTCAAAGGCCGATTGAGGTTAGGGTTTTTATAATATGCCGAAAAAAATTATTCTGAATGTGTAAGGTCATTTTTCTTCTTGGTCAGAGATCAAACGTGGTGTTTTATCCCCTTCGGAAAGGAACAAAATAAAAGAGGGAGATAGAGTGCAAGGTCCAGCACAATAAACTCACATGCTGCAGTGTCACAGAATGGACTTGCTCTATTCATCCTCATGATTTGGTTTTATTTTGGTGTTGCAAATTGGTGATGTTTGGGGGCTGGTGGGTACATATTACTCAAAGGCAAAATGTCAGTATTTCAAGGCCATTACTTTTGAACCCCGGGGCCCTCCTTCATTAGGGTGTTACAGAAATAGTTTAGCTGCGAGAAAATGGGTTGGGGTGCAATCTTTATTTCTTTTTTCCATCTGAGGCAGGCAGCGACAGGACGCTGTCCATCTGCCTAATGCAACAGAAAAATACCAGTCCTCTCTGGCGCTTTTCACTTATTTCTCCCCCGCAAAAGGCAACAACCTTCAAGGATAAATGCAAATGTCACTTGAGCATGTTAAAGGTCTGAATTGGCACAGATATGCACAAGAGATGAGCACTGTGCTCAGGCAATGCCTCCTCCTCCTCCTCTTCCTCCTCCTCCTCTTCCCCCTCCTGCAGCCCGTTTCTCTTTTTCATGAACTCTATCTGGTCTATGGCTGGAGGACTTAATTTTTTTTGCATTATTTACAAAACATCTCCGTGAGATAGCAATCTGTTTTGATGTTGTGTGCAAATGAAGGCAACAAATGCAGACGCTAAATCAAGACAGATTTCTACACATAAATATCTATATCTATACATAGCAGTGCACATTGGCAAGCGTCGCTGCCAAACTGATCAAACACAGACAGTAAATTGTGTCTGTTGATATTCTTATTCCTTCTCCTGGCATCTTCTTATCCCGCCCTGGCAGCAGATGAGACGGAGAGGGGACCTCTGTAATTTAAGTCATCCTCCATTTCACATTTCAAATTAGCCTCACAATAAAGTCTTCTATCTGGCTAACCTGAAAATCTCACACCCCTGTCAAAGGAGCAGAGCAGACCGGGCCGATTGTTGCTAGGACGACTATCTGAAATGGGAATCAGATTAACCCTTCCTTAGATCTGCAGACTGGAGCCATCTCTTATTCAGCAGCGAGAGGCCTCTCCGCCGTCCCTCTGAGCCTCTGGGAATTCATGATATTCCAGCTGCTCTTAATGTAGCCAACAGGGACAAAACACCACATTAACCACACATCTTCCCATTGTTAGAGTGTGTTAGAAATCATTACAGCAATCACAATTGTTCCTTTGCTGAGAAAGAAACTTTTAAAAATGCATATTATGTATTATTTTGATGTAATTGTTAATAGTTTTTTGTTGTTGTGAACAACAGCAACAACCCATGACAGCGCCTCAGTGCAGCAGATTTACATAATGCATCGATCGTGACAATGGTGGCCTATGTGCTTTGTAAGAATGCTGCATGTACCAGACGTCACTCAGACAAAGAAATGCAGAGAGCACACAACATATTAGGGATTAAGACACAGAGTGGCATCAGTGCAGGGGGGGGGGCTCTGCGAATGCAAATGGAAACATTTGTACAACCGGATCAGTTGGCCTAAGTGGCCGCGGCCAGGAGAAATGCAGACTGACAGGCAGAACATTTATTTCCCTGCAGCGGGGAGGATAAACAAAGTCCTCTTCACGAGCAGGGGGATGTGACGTATGGAAGCTCTTTCCTGCCTTACACAGTACTGAGAGCGAGTTTGTAAAATATGCTGACCCCTGTTGGATGTTAAATATGCCACAAATCTGTGCAAATGTCTGAATAACACTGAATATATTCCTGATTTGAACACATCTTTAGGTATTTTGACAGGTATTCAAATAAAGAGATATTAGAAGAAAGACTACTTTTGAATGGGTAAGAAAAATAACTAAAACATTTTACAATAACATTTCATGTTACTTACATTAAGAAAATATATTTGTATATTGCCAGTTTTCTGAAATATTATGTTTAAATAATGCAAAGGAGGTTTTATCTAATGTTTAATATAGTAAACTTACGACCAGCCACAAAAAGACAACATCAAAAATTAAAACAACATAAATATGTATTTTGGCTGTTTTCTAAGCACTGTTCTGAAGAACACTTGTTAGGCCACAAACATGAAATACATTTTTTTACCAGTGCAAATATGCAAAGTAGGCATTATCTGCTATATAAATATAACTTGATTAATAATTATGGTGACTTTAAGATAAATCTATACACACACAAAGACAAAGTTGTTGAAAAAAACAAATAACATTTCTATTTTGGATGTTTTCTTTCCACCTATCTGAATGAAGACATGTTAAGCAAAACATATCCAGATGTCTCAAAATGGACCAGAGCATGAACAAGTTGTTTTCCTGTAGTCTCTGGCCTTAGAGAACAAGTATATATGAGTTTAGTTTATAGAGATACAGTGTTTAATATCAGTTTCCACACTATCATCCCTGTCAGAGCCTGTAAAAATACTCCTCTGGCCTTCCTGTCTGTGTACTGTGTTACGGTTTATCCACCCTCTGCCTTCACTCCACTGGTTTCAATACCCTGCCGCTATTTCTATTATTTTTTTCTGAGCTGTGTTACCGTTGCTCGTGTAAGAGATACAGTGACCGAAACAGTGTAGTCAGCGAGGAAGTGATTACAAACTGATGCTCCAAATACGCTATAAAATGAAAATCAATATTTCCACAAGTTGCTGCAACATAAAAGATAACCTTCATTGATTTTTCTAGACTTAGGCCTCTGTGATAAAATCTAATATAAATTTTCAGCCACACGGATTTGGATCAGAACGGAGCAGAGGCTGAACGATAAGTTCCGCGCACATCTCTCAGAGTTGGATTTTTTCTCCCTCCCCCTTTTCCCTCTTCCAAGGCAGGGCTGTACTATTTATAATTGGCCCTGTGTGAGCAAAAGCTTCTATCAGGAATCTGTTCTAATTTTTATTACTGAGAAGCTAAAGCCTGTTCCAGATAATTTGGAAATTTCAGGGGAATTGTGATAGAGCTGATGGCACAGCCGGACTGACTCCAGAAAGGAGCTAACCTGTAATAGCCTCTGTGGCTGCGCTGATTAAATGTTGCCATAGATGAAAGACCTGCCATCACCGCAATAAATTAACCAATCACACAAATCCCAAGTCGCTACTAATCCCTCCTTGATACCATGATCCTCTGATCAGCTGAAGGAGGTGAAGAAGAAAGTGGCTTGTGACACTCAGCCTTCCTCTAACTCCCTGCTTCCCTGTGTAAACAACAAGCTAATGATATCACCGCTGACCATTTCACCACCACTGGCTACTCTTAACCTGCTTCATGGTCAGGGCAGGTGAAATCGATACGGACCTTGGTGGGAATGATTATTTTCCTCATGGCTTTTTTTCTTCTTCCCCCTACCAAGGTCACTGACTGGCACTGTATCCGTCTTGATCCCACAGCTGCAGGATTTAGACAACTGGGAGATCAAAACCACTCCGTCTGAATATCTTAACACGTTCGTTGGCTTTATATATCACGCTTTCAACATCCACTTGGTATAAAGAAGTGCTATTTTGAGACAAAAACACAATTTGAATTATGTTACATCTTTTCAATATTGCATTATTTTTGTGTTTCCCAATAAAGCATTAGTTTTGACAATTGATTTACAGAAACCCTAACCCTAATGTGGCATAGTCATTTATTCAACTTCAAAAATAATGTTGTTAAATTAGATTACATGTAAAGTTGAATGCTTGTTACATACATTCTTTTTTTGTTTTCTTTCTACACTTGAATTCCATCCCCTACATTACATTTGACCCCGTGTTAGCATGGTCACAAACAATTTGAAAGCGCCATGTCCTTTCAGATGATACTAGCCGTAAAAAACAAGCTTATGTATTGGGTTATGTCAAGTCTATATGTTCTCTGTTTCTAACATGGGAGTGAGGATAAAGGATTTGTACCTGTTTTACCAGTCAGTTTACAGCAGACAGCACACTCACACCTTGATAACGTCCATTGCAATTAGTTGTTCACTGCGATGAAACAAATTGCATGTGGTCAACTGGAAATTTCATTAAGGGAGATTTTCCTC